TGAACAAGAAATGGAAGAGAAAATCAAGTAAGTTGTATTTAGCATGGGTGATTTTAAGGCAGTCCTCTTGAACTAAGTTTCCTTTTGTGGTGCCTGGTACAGTTCTTTTAAGTTATTTGGGTAAGTTTTGCCTAACCAAAATATTAAACATAAGCCCTGTAAGTTAAATACAGAGGAGAAATAAGAGTCAGTGTAATTCCATGTCTGTTTAGGGGGAAAATCTTTTTCTGTATGCAAGATTATGGTCATTGGGTACATATCCAATGAATTATTTTGTTATATTATCTTTAGTAGTGGCATTATTATTACTATTATATAATAAAGATACATATGGTGAAAAGTTTTTGAAAAGTAGAGAAGAGGGGCCAGCAAGTGGCATAATGGTTAAGGTGCTGGCCTACCATGTGGTCGTCTGTGGATCCAGTTCTGGACCTGCCGGCTTGAAAATCACACCAGGTGTGTGTATGTGTGTGTGCCCCACGTCCCAAGAGAGTGGAGGAGAAAGGATTGTGGTGTGGCCATCCCCCCCACCTCCCGGGGGTGGGGGGATGATTTCTCACTTTCCCTCCCACTGTCTCTTTTTGTCTCTCTGCCAAGTGCATCCTATGGTAAAAACCTAAAAAAAAAAAAAAAAAGGTAGAAAAGTTCTCCAGTCCCAAGACCCACTCCCTAGAGGCACTCATAATTTCTGTATCCTCCCAGAAGTTTTCTGTGTCCGGCGGCATGCGTGCACGTATCTCTTTGCAGCTTATTCCTTGTGTGGCGGCAGTTAACTCTGTCTTTGTGGCTCAGACAGGAGCAGGAAGATCTTGAGTTGAAGCACAATTCCACGTTAAAACAACTGATGAGGGAGTTTAACACACTGCTGGCACAGAAGGAACAGGACCTGGAAGTGACCATAAAAGAAACAATCAGTAAGTAAAATTTTAAGTTCAGGAAGGAGCCCATCACAGTCGGCAGAGACTGATTTAAGCTTAGTCTTTTTGCACTTGCAGTAAGTGCTTTAAATCATTAAACTGGAAGGAAGACGATCCTTGCCCAAGTAAGTTCTCTAATGGGTACCTATCCTGCCTGGCAAAGATTTGCAGGTGGAAGAATCTGAAAGCATTAGCTAATTAATTGCCTTAGAAAGACACTTCTGTTCAGTGAAAGGGTGTATTTGATCATTTGACCACGGTTGGGCTGGACGTCTCATTAAAAATCTAGCAGTACTCATATAAAATTGATATAAAAATTAATTTGGAATAAGCATTCTTACTGAATTGGGGATATAGACGTTAACTCTTTTTATTTTATAATTTCTTATTTACATTTAATTGTTGTATATCTTTGTGGAGTATATTGTTTTCAAAGCATGCATGCTATGTGTGATAATCAAATGAAGGATTTAACCCCATTCATCATCTTCAACAAAGAACCCTGCTTTCTGCTGTGTACTTTTGATCTGTTCACTCTTAACTAATGCATTATCTTGTGTGTGTTCGTTTTTATTTATTAGATAAGGCCCAGGAGGTGGAAGCTGAACTTTTGGAAAGCCACCGAGAAGAGACAAATCAGTTGCATAAAAAAATTACCGAGAAAGATGATGATCTCAAAAGGACAGCCAAAAGATATGAAGAAATCCTTGATGTACCTTATTTTTGCTCTCTTGAAATGTAGTTGTAATAGATTTCATGGTAGTGCTGAAGGAATCCTGTTTTCCTAATGTGAAGGGCTTTGGGGGCTCAGTACTACCACATTAGTACTTTTATGTTCCATGCATTTTTATGAAGAATCCTAATTGATTTCTGCCGAGATCGTAGTTTTCTGATCATATTCTGCTAACCCGTCACTGTAGTCTGCTTGCTGGAATTGTGAGTCACTGAGGGGGAGAATGGATTCTCTCACAAACTCAGACTGGACAGTGAGAAGACCAGACTGAGAGTGGAGCTGTAGTTGGGTGAAGTCCCAGCAATAGGACAGACCATGTTGCCCACTGTGTTTGAGTGTGGCTGCTTAATGTAGGTGCGCTCTTTCCAGGGTGGGGTCAGTTAACTTCCTACCATCCTCCCCAATTTGCAGGGGTTTGGAGAGAAAGATGGGTGGAAAAGAAAGGACTACATTAGCCAAATCTTTTATTTTTAATGGAAGGTTATCTTGAAATACTTATTTGACTAGGACTTCAAAATGTTCATGGAGGATGCTTATTATGAAAAAAAGTATGTCTGAATTTCAAAAATTTTTTTCACCAAAATGAACTCACTTGAATTCCAGTTTCCCATGGACTTTTGAAGTCTCCTATATTAATGGCACTACCATTTTTGTGTATGAAGATAAGCCATAATTGATAGTGAGTTCTCTGGACTCCAGAACATGTAAAGTGCAATGGGTGCAGTGGGGCCACAAATAGCATAGTGGTTATGTCACTGGACTCCCACCAACTGCAGTTCAAGTCCCAGACCTGATGGCTTAAAAATCATGCCAGGGCATGTGTGTATGTGTGTACCCTGTATACTGAGAGGAAATGGAGGAGAAGGGATTGCAGTATGGCCATCCTCCGGAGGGGGTGATTTCTCACTTTCTCTCTCACTGTCTCTATCTTTCTCTCTCTCCAGCATGCACCATGTGCCCTAAGGCAAAAACGTTTTTAAAAATAAATAAATGACTGCAAAACAATATAAATTCTTCTTGGCTGGCTTACAGGTTCTTTAGTTACACCAAGCCTTATTTCACTCTACGCCAAGAACCGTTTGAGGATTAATAAAGAGTAAATCGGGGAATCATGCCTCGCTGACTAGGTCAGCATTAGAACTCGGAGCCATTCTAATAAAAATAATGTTCAGTGTAATTGAAATGACTACAACCCCAGCACACGATACATGCCTGTAAATGTCACTTTAAATCTCATTATGAAGAAATTTAAATAATTTTACATTTTCTTATAATTTTGTACAGTATATATGTACTGTTGGAAAAAATACTATTACGAGTGAGCAGATGATGTAGTGGTGAAAATGCTAGATCCCACATAGCTGACTCTGTGGTTCAAGTCCGAGACGCGGTGGCTTGAGAAACACACTGGTACATGTGTGTGCACACCCAAAATCTCAAGAGGAGCATGGAGAAGGAAGTGCAGCGCGGCCATCCCCCTGGGGAGGATTTCTCACTTTCCTTCTCTGTCTCTCGCTGTGTCTCTCTGATGAGTGCATGTGCCCTATAGCAAAAACCAAAACCAAAGACAAAAAAGTCCTCTTACTTCTTGAGTGCTTAGAGAATGTTGGAATTTGAAGATACATTAAAGCTAGCTTAGGGGCCAGCAGGTGGCATAGAGGTCAAGATGCTGGACTCCCAAATGGCAGACCCCAGTTCGAGTCCTGGACCTGGTGGCTTGAAAATTACTCGAGGTGCGTGTGCACATGTGTGCCCAAACCCGAGAGGAGAGTGAAGGAGAAGTAATTGTGGTGTGGCCATCCCTCCTGGGCGATGACTTCTCATTTTCCTTCTCTCTCTGGTGAGCTCATGCAGCCTGTGGCAAAAACCTAAAAAAAAAAAAAAAAAAAAAAAGAGTGTTTATTTCCATTTC